AACACACAATAATATTCAATGTATGTTGTAATCCCATGCTGCAAATACTTCAGAAGACATATTGAAAACTGTGTCAGAATTTTAATATAAGCAATAAAGTTTGGGGGGTAGTGGTTATAGCTCTGTTGAAGTCTCCAGAATGGAGTCTAGGGTCAAATACTTGCTCAGATTCCAGGGCAGGCATGTGGTATATGCTTTTACCCCCAATCCTTGCAGTGAGGTGAGTCTGATCACAGTGACTGGACTTGACAGCCAAGATAATCATTAAGAGACCTCCTTAACAAAGTGAACAGTAGTAGTAGAGGACATTTAATGTTTACTTCTGGTCTTCATTGGCACACATACATGCATAAGACATATACATATACAAACACATAATACTACTATTACTACTAGTAGTAGTAGTAATAATTAAAAAATTAATCACATCAAAATAAAAAACCTCCAACATTTTACTTTACCAATTTGTCAATATGCATATGTATATGCAAATGACAAGCTTTCCTCTCCTCAGAGGACCAGAAAGAATATCCCTGCATTCCAATCACATGTGCCAGTCCATTACAAATTTTCCTCAACTCTGGCTTAGACTAAAACTATTCATGCTCAAGTTGACCCAAGAACCCAAATAATGAGTTTCTGTGATTTTCATTCAACCTAGGAAAAATAAATTGCTATAGAGAGTGGGTTTCTTTTCTTTACCTTCTGGCAAATCTGTGGTAGAGAGAGATCTTTTCTTTACCTTCTGGAAAATCTGTGGTAGAGAGAGATATGTAATTTCTTTTGTTCATACCTGGGACAATCCAACAATTTATAAAAGGTGGTAAGACACAGTCCACATTATATCTAAGTGGGACTGTGAGTTAGACTAACTGGTCCCTTCCTGAGCTTTAGGGAACATGGGCTCAGATTGTCCTTGCTGTCTACTGCAGGCACATTGTGCATGGGATGGAGAATCCTCACACATATTTAATGTGCCAGAGCTTCTTATCTCTTTTTAGATCTCAGGTTGAGATTCTAACAGTTACATATCCTTTAAGGACATTAAAATATGTAAGTTGAAAAACTGGTAACCAAAGAATGGGGCATGTGGTCAGTGTTCAGAATATAGCCTCTTCAAATCAAAAGTCAACAGAAGGAAGAATGTTATAGTAGGAGATGCACTGGCATATATGACAACTAAAATGGTAAAGTTTGGTTGAGAAAAAAAAACCTGACAAAGGGGGATCAATAGAAGATAATTTGGGCAGGATTTCCTTTGAAATCTAGCTAGTCCTAGGGTGGACACTTATCTCTGCATCATTCTGTTCTGTGAACTTTTCTTCCTTGAAATAATTACACTGAAAATTGAAAGAACCATTGGATATATGCTTTGTACCACATTTTTGGAGTTTTACCTATGGGTGTAGTCTAAGCCAATCTTACATAATGTGGGAAATGGGAATCTGGTAAGGTTAAAATTTCTCATTCTTTCTTCTAGGCCTTTCCATACACAGCTTTGGTGAATAGCCCGCAGACAGAACACGTTAGAAGTCATAAGGAAATACTGGATTTGGTGGAGTGGAATGGGCTCTGATTCTTCGTGTGTCCTTACTGGAATAAGCACTAACTCCACTATTTCCACCTAGTCAGCAACATACAACAATGAGGAAACAGAGCCTCAGGCAGAACGATGATAGAAAACAGACAACTAAATAAATCAGTGTCTCCCATCCAAGCTAAACTCTTTTACTTACTCTCTGGAGGAAACAGTTGATACATGTTTAGTCCTATTTTGTATTGTATTAGAACTTGTGAAATTTTTATTATCCCCATAGATGATGAATCCCTATGACAATTTGTACTTTCTTGTCTAGCCACCATCTGTAAAATTTCTATTATATATTTCAAACTTCTATATTGCTTACTGTTTAGGAAATGCATGTGAAGATAATCCATACCACCAGAAAAGCCAGGAAACAAGAAGAACACTAAGAGAGACATACATGGTCACCAGGAAAAGGCAAGATCTCCCAAGCAAATTGGGAGCTGGGGGAGGGGATAGGAAGTTAGGAAGAAGAGAGAGAAGGGGAGAGGTGGGCATGTTGGAGCAGGAAGATGAGTCTGGGAAAGAATAGAGGAGAGCAAGAAAAGAGATACAATAAAAGAGTGAGCCATTATAGGTATTTTTAAAAAATATATTTTATTTTATTATTTTTTATTTTACATGTTGATCCCAGTTCCCTCTCCCTCCCTTCCTCCTTTCCTCTCTCTCTCTCTCTCTCTCTCTCTCTCTCTCTCTCTCTCTCTCTTACACTTTCTTCCTGCTCACATGCTTCCTGACCACCCTTCCCTCCTATCCCCACTAGAGAAATATTCAGAGGTCTACAAGGATGATCCCAACTAACTAAGTAATAGGGAGAGTCACCTTAAATGCCCTTCCCTGATAATGAGATTGATGTCTACCTTATATGTCATCCTGGAGCCTTCATCTAGTAGATGGAAGCAGTAGCAGACACCCACAACTGAACACTGAGCTGAACTCTTGGAATCCAGGTGCAGACAGGAAGAAGTGATGAGCAAAGGAGTCAAGACCAGGCTAGAGAAACCCATAGAAACTGCTGACCTGAACAAGGGGGAGCTCATGAACTCCAGTCTGATAGCTGGGAAACCAGCATAGGACTGACTCAGATTCCCTGAATGTGGTGTTAGTTGGGAGGACTAGGCAGTCTATGGATCCTTTGGTAGTGGATCAGTATTTATCCCTAGTATATGAATGGACCTTGGGAGCCCATTCCATATAGAGGGATACTCCCTCAGCCTAAACACATGGGGGAGGTTCTGGGCCCTGGTCCAGACTTTGAAGACTCCACATGGGAGGCCTCACCCTCCCTGGGGAGAAGAAAAGGGATGGGATGGGGCTCTGTGGGGGGGCAGGGGAGGATGGGAGGGTGCTGGAACTGGGATTGATATGTACAATAAGCTTGTTTCAAATTTAAATTTAAAAATTATATATGACAAAGTGAAGGACAATGAAATCGGGAGTTAAAGAATTTGTAAGATACCCAGCATGCATGAGAAAAGCTATGCTTGAAGTTATAAATTTACTGTGTAAAACTTCAGTGTCTGGGTTCAGTTTCTCCCATAAGATTAATTGGAAGGGGAGGCATATGAAACCCATAATTCATATGTATTTTTGGTACTCTTGTTGACTATATACCACAACTAAATGCGTAGACCATTCTCTTTAAGAAACTACATGGTCAAAATCTTTTCCCAGTCTGTGGGCTGCCGTTTGGTCTTGTCCACTGTGTCCTTTGCCTTACAGAAGCTTCTAAGTTTGAAGAGGTCCCATTTATTAATTGTTTCTAACCCTAACCCTAACCCTAACCCAGATGCAGATGGAGAGGACAAGGCCATGCAGCAGAAATACATACAGACAGCTTACCTGAACAAGGAGGAGCTAACTGCCACTAGACTGATAGCTGGGAAGCCAGCATGGGACTGACTCAGGCCCCCCTGAATATGGGTCTCAGCCAGAAGGACTGAGCAGTCTAAGGGACCTCAGACAGTGGAGCCAGGATGTATCCCTGATGCACAAAAGGACTTTGTGAACATATCCCCCATGGAGGGATAACTGCCTTAATCTAGAGACAGGAGAGAAGCCCTAGTCCCTAGTTCACATGACCTGTCAGATCTACATGACCCCAACTGGATGGCATTCCCCTACATATGGAATTGGGGTGGGGGGTTGGGATGGGAGGGTGTTTAGAGTGCATGTGAGAGGGCAGAGAGGGTAAAAGGGAGGGAGGGGGCTGGGGAGAGGGAGGGAGGGAGAGGGAACTGGGGTCGACATGTAAAATAATAAATTAAATTAAAAAAATGCTTTGACTCCAAAATTTAATTTGAAGGACAAGTTACTGGGGAAAAGGATTTCTATTTTTGTTTCCACAGAAAATGAAAAGATGTGGATTCCTTCCAGACTAATGTGGTTTGATCACGCCAGACCGCCTGAAACAGAGTACAAGCTTATCCGACATTCAAAACAGCTGGACAAAACATCCCTACAGACTACAGCCAGTATATCTGAATCTTCTTCAAATCCCCCCAAGACAGGGCCCCTTACCAGCAGGAAGTAGTTTGGAAAGAACGACGCCCAAATTCCCAAATATTGTGTATAAATGTTTGTTTTCATTTAATTGGACTTTGTTATATAAAATTAAATAAAATAAAAAAAATCTAAAAAAATAACAGTTGTGGTTTTAATGAATGACTCTCTGATATAATTTAAGACCAACCTGGTAAGAAGAAACCTGTGTTTTATATTCTAAAACAATGCAAGAAAGTGTGCCCAAGAAAACATAGGCATCAGCAATGCTAGTATAATAAGAGTTTTGAGAAATGGACATGATATGCCTGTCAATGTACCTTACTAACATTTATTTTTCATTCTGTAGAGTACTTAAACTTTCTCTGACTTTGTGGAAACATTTTACAATCTTTGCTGATTTCTGGAAACAGATTCATGGTTAAAATGCAAAGAACAGTTGATTAACTATGACTGCATCATGGTGACTCAATACGGGAAAAGAATCACATGCATTGACTACATTCTGAAAACCTAGGAAATGTTGCAGAAGACGTGACAGAAAGAACATAAGAAGTAAGGGAAAGGTATCAAGAATGAGTATGCTTTTTTCTGCTAGCCAAGAATATGAATCATTTCAGGACAAAGTCAACTTTGATGACTTACAAAATATTTTGAATGATAGAGATACTATGGCCAAAAACAATATTTGGAGAGGAGGGGTATGGTAATGTTAAAGAGGATATAGATGATCATTGAAGAGCAGAGAATGACTCCCTCACCTAGATATTGCTCCCCTTTGCCTCTCAGCTCTGCTTGTCCGCAGGGCTGCTGTTTGTATATATATATAGGAAGTAAGCGTTCAGTAAAGGCAGAACTCATGTGAAGCAGCTTTCTAGAGTTGGTGAGGATACTAAGGAGCAGCTTCTTAGAGATGCAGCAAACTCTGAGTCAACCATGTTCCTGTAAGTAGCCCTTTAATCATGTTCCTCTAAGTAAGCTTAATAGATGAACTATTTCATCAAGAGGGTTTGGAATAGGGCTCACAATCTTTGGTGTCATTGGTGCCATATCTGTTATAAACTGAAATTTATTCATGCCTCATATGTAAACACCAACACAAGAGAACAGGGGAATAATTTTCTAGCATGTAAATTAACAATAATCTTTGAGGACTGTGGTTCTCTTTAGAACTCTCCCTGTGATCAAGAAACACGACACCATCCCAAGACATTTTATTTTGTCTTAATAATATGATGCAAAACAAACAGGGGGAATTTTTACAAATATCTAATGAAGATGCTGTTGAATACCTTCCTGAACAAGTTATTACCTAACTAAAAATGACCAGCTACCAAAATTGAGAAATCAGACTTCATTGAGAACACAAAATTCAATGATGTAATTGTCTCAACTGCAGAAGGTAGAAGTTACAATCTTTTGGTTCCTGGGTCTCTTACTTCTGTTTGATCACTTGAATGAACCTGAATAAATTTTTAGTTATAAAGCCTAATGCAGGTAATGACAGAAGATTTGTGTCTTTAACCAATTCAATACAAGCCAAGTCTTGTAGCAACAAAGGAATCAAGCTTGTGTTAACAAATTACCTTTTCTTTGTAGATTGTATTTTCATGTAAAATGAATTGATGACAGCCAAAATTTATTTTATGAAACGGAGAATTATTTGCTATTTTACTTTATCTTATACTGTAAACACCTATAATAAGCATGCTACATGAAGCAAACACTTTTTAATTTTGAGATTATATTTGAAACATTTCTCCCTTCCTATTTTCTCCAAACCCTCCCCTATATTCTTCATTGCTCTCTTTGAAATTATGGCCTCTGTTTTCATTAATTGTCATTACATGCAACATGTGTATTTATATTCATATATATTCCTAAATATATGCTACTCATTCTATATATTGTTAGTTGAATATAAGATTATAGAGTTGACCATTTGATATTGCATAAACAATTGATGCACTCTCTCCTGGGAAGACTATTTCTCTTATTCATTCTCAGATTCTTTAGTTGGCTGTCACTCTTTGTGCAGGTATAAATTCTTATTTGCACCATGCTTTAGGGAAATTAATTAAAGTAATGAAACTAACCATTGCTTTCACACTGTAGCTAAATATTGTTTTTATACATTACATATTACACAGATTTTTTTTAATATTTCAGGATTTACATTATTGTTATTCAGCTATTTTTTCCAGGCACAAATCATTAGCATTGGACTACTCAAATGCTAGATATATGTTTGCTATATTTGTGAAAGGTTGTTTGAAAGTTAAGTTCCTACAAAATATACTTTGTGTTTTATAAATTGTTTAGGAGGGTCACAAATGTTCAATGTAGTAGAAGTAACATTCCCCAGGGAAGATCACACCAATTGGTTATCAAATACCAAATGGTAAACCCTGAAAACATATATACAAGTAACATTATACAGACTGAATGGGTCATATTTAGAAATTACATTACAACAATTATAACTTTTTCAATTTAGTAAATATCTGAATGAGTATATTCTAATAACATTGTATATAGTAAAAAAGAGAGACGAGATTCTAACAAGGCACTTACATGTTTCATTCCTTTGAATATGTAACTATCGATATGTTAGAGTTCTGTCTCCAATCACAAATTAAGCAACAAATTGATTAAAGCATCACTGATCATTTTTCAAATATTTTTAAAGAGAAGTGCTTTATAGTACAGGAAAACAGGAAATCAAGTCTTCTAGGCAGTGCTGTCTAGGATGTAATGTTGTCTAGGATGTCTATAATCAAAAGAAAAGGCAAAATGTTGATACTTCTAATTACTAAGAGCGATCTAGGGTGGCACAGAGATGTGTTCATAGATGTCTCTGCCACACACATGTGTAGTGAAAGGTGACAGGTGTCCTGTCCACTCTGTGAAAAGGTGAAGTGGCAAGTCTGTGGTGCTGGTGAACTGACTCTCTCAGCAGTTGTGATAGGACTGTGGGAAAATCACTTGTGCATGCTAGCCTTATACAGTCAATACAGTTTGATGAAAATTAAAAATTGTGATTATGCACAAATCAATTTCAAAGAAAAAAAACAACAAATGGCTTGTTAAAATGTCAAATACAAAAGATAATCATTGTGATCTTGCAATTCCAGGATGTGACATCATTTTTATGATAGGATGCTCTTCATTCTTATTGTTAGTAATCCAATAGTCGTAAGTCTATTCTCATCAGGCATGAAGATAAAGCAAACAGAACTGTGCTCCTTGTACAAAATGCTGGAATTGGATATTTAGTTTATAAAATTATGAATTCCTAGGTGATGATATAAATTTAAGTGAGCATAAATTTCCAAGCTATGAAAATATACAGAGGACTAAATATTGTGGATCACTATCAATGTAAGCTCCAATTGTTTTCAAAGTTGGAAAGTACTGCAAGAGCAAGTCAAAGGTGTGGAAGTCGCCCAACTCTCCAAATACATATTGGGGAAATATGACTTATATTTTAACATTGGACAAAGTTTATGGCTCATTGCAGTTATACAGAAGCAAAGCATGCAGCCTGGGGTCCTCAGAACTGATAGTGCTCACTAGACATTTTAATTCATATAACCTCTTTTGAGAGAATAATCTGGATGTGATTTTTCTCTTTATAACAGGGATGCTTCAGCTTCTGCTAGTTTCAAACCTTCTCCTATGGGAGCATGCAGTCTCTGCACCCATGTGCCTTGCCACAGAAGGATACACCGAGTTGCCCATTGAAGAACTCTTTGACCAGACAATTGTTGTGGCTCAGTATACCTCTAACCTCACCAAACAAATGTCTGAGAAGTTTGTGAGTACTTAATTTTTTTCAGATTTCTTCTCTAAAGGGCTCTTCGAACATTCTATAGATTAAACCAGAAAACATCCTGTGCAAAATTTCAGATAATATATCCTCATACCTTCATGGGATTAAAAATAAAGTATCAGATATTGAGAAATGGTACAGGAAGAATGAGAAATTTGATGAGATTGCAAAGACTCTTAAATATTACAATAATTTAAAATAATTGGTTAAACAAATAGTTTTTATAATTAGTCAATTTGATATTTTTTTTAATAAAAAGTGACTGTCTCTCAACCCCAATTTATGACAGCAAGTCTTCAAAGTGAGTATAGTCATGTATGGTATGTTCAGTCTCCATGGTCATTTTTCACTTAGCAGATGTAGAACATAAGTGAACTACATTGCAGAGATTGTGTGGAGGGAATAGAAATGACCTAATATGAAGCTGTATAAAGAAAAAAGAAAAGAAAAAACAAACAACAAAAAGCTGTTCAGTTTGATTCAAGTGCTGAGAATGGTTGACCACAGAGTTCCAGTGTCAACTTTCTAACAACATAATGAGCACTGGTTTAGAAAGGAAATATGTTCTCTTTGTAATGGAGATGCAGGGAAAACAAAGATGATTTCAATACAAAGTTGTGAATCATTAGAATATATCCATGGATTTGTAAGGAATATGGACTTCCATTGTCCCTTTAACAGTGCTTGGTTTACTATGTCTTCTTCATTTAAAGCTTTCAATTTTGCAATACCCCTGCTGTAATAAGCAAGTCACTTAGACAGGATTCCTTCAAATGAAGTAACAAGAGTTAAACTGTCTGGAAAACCTTGACTTTTCTGGTACATGATTTGGTTCTGTATAACTGCAGTGTTGAATAAGACCTTTCCATTGTGAAAATGAAGGTAATGATTACATTGCCTCAACACATAGTGTAAGAATTAGATGACTTCTTGAATCTTTGGCTTTTGTAAATTCAATGATTGCCTGTAGAAAATACTATATTTTAATAAATACTTTAAGTAAGATCTTCAATTGATCATATATAAACATTACATAATACTTTTGTTCTTCAGTAATACTTTGTCATATGTTTTCTTTAAAACATACTTTAATTAAAATATAATTGTATCATTTTTCTCCTTCCTCTTCCTTCAGCTACATTTCTCATGTGCTCCCCTTAATCCCTCTCAAATAACAACTTCTATAGCTATGATTATTATTTTGCTTTATACATATATGTATGCGTATACATATATATATATATATATATATATATATATATATATATATATATCACATAGCTTGTTTAGTGCATTTAGTGTTGTTTTGCTTATATGTACATGATTTCAACCACTTGGTGTGGTATAACTTTGTATTGTCCAGACATAAAGATTTGGTGGTAATTGAGAAACAGGTATGATTTCATAACACTTAAAACTAATATATCATTTTAGAAGAACAGTAAACTATAGTTTCATAAATATGGATACACAAGTTGTAGCAGTTTGAAATAAAATGCCTCTCAAAGGAAGTGGTACTATTAGGAGGTACTATTAGAAAGTGTGTCAATTTGGAAGTAGGATTTGAGGTCTCATATATGCTCAAGCCACACACATTGAGACATACCACTTCTTGTTATGTAACAGTCAAGAAAAAGCCAACATCATGTCTGTCTGCATGCACCATACTCTCCATCTGCATGCTCCTGACTATGATGATAATTGACTAAACCACTGAAAATGTAAGCTAACCCAATTAAATGTTTTTCCTTTATAAGTGTTGCCGTGGTCATTGTGCCTCTTCAGAGAAATAGAAACCCTACCTTAAAAATAAAACATGCAAAACCTGTAGTGTTTTAATGTGTTAGTATTTATATAGTTTTCTTTCCAAATTAATTTTCTGAAAGGGCAAAACTAACAAGAGAATAGCAAAGAGTGGAAACGTTAGGTGATTAGAAATTGAGTCTAAAAATGAAATTGTGTATCTAATGGGAAGAATATGTAAGTAGCTTATTTTGCTTCATTATTTAATTTTAGGTAGTGCTTATGTGTTATAAACTGCACATCTATAAAATACATTTATGTAATTACCATAGGTGCACTTATTTAATTCAGAAACTCAAATAAATTGAAATATTTTATTATTTCCAGGATGAAAGCTTTGCCAAAAGGCTGGTACACAAAGCCAGCAACTCCAGCACCTGTCACACTGCCTCCCTTGCTACTCCAGAAACCAATGAACAAATCCAGCGGACACACGTAAATATTTATTTCTGGTTGTCACCAAAACAACTGAAGCAGTGCCCAAAGTTTACTGTGCTTTAGTCTATTTTGAGTGTTTTATAGGAGTGGTTATAACATATGAAACAAAAAAGAGAAGAATGAATAGTCAAAAAACAATAGCATTATACAGTTTACAAATTAGAAGTTAAAACTCATGCTAGTGCAGACTGTAGCAGGTACATAAATGGCCTATACATAGGACACCTTTTTTAGCCAGTGCCATGCTTGTAGGATTGTACTTACTTAAGTTTCATGCACATGTGGGATAGATGCCAATACAATTGCATTTATTATAATAAAAGGTTCTTCCATTGCCAGCATATTTCTTAACTGACCAGAATGCCATTTCTTTCTGAACGTTAATACTCTCCTATTTCTGTTTGCTTTTCATTACTGTGCAGTCCTTCCTGACTTCTCTGCCTTCTCCTATGTTATAATTTGAAAACAGCTGAAAAAGAGGCTCTCTTCATACTGTATCATGTGCCTTAAACTAACCTCTATTTTGATGAGGTGTACTTATTTTGGAAGCTCTAATGTGTAATTGTTATGATCTATCCAATGTGACTCCCTGTCAGAGGAAATTTCAGTATAATTTAAACCAAACTAATATATGTACATATATAATCTGTTTATTATTATTTTATTAGTAGTATCTATCACTTAGAAATTATTCCCATTAATAAAAATGTGATTATAGTGAAGCAAGAAGAGAGGGAGGAAAGAGAGAACATTTCCTCAAAACTAGATACTTAAAAAAACACTCTATTGATACTGATATATTGAATCCACACAAAGTCCACTAAAACAAGATACCATTAGGATGATTATGAAGAGAAGCTCCAAAAAGTTGCATAGACTTACAGCACTTGCATATCCAACAAGAATTTGAAACTGTGTTTCAGTCACCTTAGGATATCAGTATCAACCATATGTAGCAATGCTCCCAGCAACCTGTTTTGCCATCAAAATCTGTTCTGCTTCTTTCCTTTATATTATTTTGCACATATATAGTACAATGTCTACTTGGATTTCTCCCTATTGTCCACTGTTATTATTACTAAGAGACACCACAGCAAATATTTAAAATTGGTGAGGAATATCATGTGTGATCCTGGCAAGGAACACACACTGGCTGCAGTGTGTGTGTGTGTGTCTAAAATACAATGAGATTTACATCAAAGTTGTTAAAGGCAAAGGTGTTCTTTTCTTGTATATGCCCATAAATGGGCTGGCTAGTTTTCCAGAAGTCAGGGAAATGAAGAAATGTAGAACATGAAAAGTCTACTTATGAATTGCTGTTTTTATTGTAGTTTTTAATGTCCTAGAACAATATAAAAGTTACAAGTATATATGAGTGAACAAATTTATCTTTTGGTATGAAAATGGTTTGTATCATTTGCCACTGATAATTCTGGTGTCCTTTATTTGAACAAGTACCTAGTCTCAGCAAAGCTTTGTTTTTCATAGACAAGGGAAATAACCTGAGTACAGAAGATCTGATGAGGAGTGCTGATGATAGAGTGTAGGGGTAAACAAAACAAGATCAGTTTGGGTTCTCAGAAAAAAAATTATTTATTATTTGCTTTTATTTTAGCAGAGTGTAATTCTGTGACTTAAAATTTGAATTTTTATAATGTGTCATTTACCAAAGCACTTTCTATATAGTTATTGACTACAGGTAGATATTATAATTTAGCATGATTGTACAAATACCACTTGTATCTACCATGTTGTATTTTAGTCATTTTTAACTTCATGTTTAACTATGATTGGTTAGTTAGTTAACCTTCTGAAAGCGATGATCAGCATTTCGCGAGCCTGGTATCACCCTCTGGAACACCTAGTGCATGCAGTGGCTGCTCTTAAAGGGGCCGGGAAGACCATGCTGTTGAAAGTCAAAGAAGTAAAGGAAAAAAATCAAGAACTTCTAAGGGAAATTAAGAAAATTCTTGTCAGGGTGAGTGCTCTTTCTACGTTTCTTTTTTTTTCTTTTTTCTCTTTTTCCTTTCATGAAAAAGTTATTTTATTGTAGTGAGAAATTAATCTAAAACTAATTTGCAACCTTTAAATTTACGTTTCTAACTTGTTCACAGCTTTGATAGTAAAGAATTGTGGGAAATTCTAGCATTCTAAGCTTCCTTAGATAGTTTATGCTCTTCGGGTTAAGACATGTCACCTGAGTAAAGTTTTAATGAGCTCAAGATGTATATGATCACAATGACAAGATGCACATGGGTGGCAAAACATGTTTTTCCATAGAGGCATATAAAGGATAGTTTAAACATTTAATTGAATGCCAACAGCAAACAATAATGAGTAATCTGAAGTAAACTCATTCCTATATGCTACATCTGAGAAAAGCATGGAAGTACATTCCAAGAACAATTCCATGCTTTGAAGAAACTGAGGTCACAAGACTATTGTTTTCTTAGAGTTTTGTCACAGTACCTGGGATTTTTTTCCATATCCAGGATTATGTTCTAACAGAACGAGTATCCTATAGAGGCCCAAAGTGGGACTGAACACAGAGATAATGGATTTAGAAGTCAAAAAAGAGAAATTAAAGCTAATTTCAATGAAATGTAATTTGAATTAAAAATCATAGTAGAAATTTGTGGGTTGGTGGGGTGGGGGCAGAGGATAACCTGAGGTGTTCCTCAGGTACCATCTGTTAGTATTCAGGCATCTGTACTGGCCTGCCTTGGGGTTCTGACAGGATATGTGCATATTCACTATGTTCCCTTTTAAAAGGGCCTTGCCCACATCCTTTCCTCCTCTCTCTATCTTTCTCTCTCTCTGTTCCCCTCCTCCCTCTCTCTCTCTTCCCCTATTTTCTTTCTCCACCTCTTTCCTCTCTCCTGATGCTTCCCTCTCCAGAGGACAATCTCCTCCCTTTCCTTTCCTCTTTCATGATCCCCTTCCCTAATAAAAACCCTCTGCTTGAACCATATCACATGGTGACTTTCTCTTGCATGCTGCTTTTCTTAAATTACAACAATGAGAACCTCACATACCAGGAAACTCAGTGAATTGATTTTGACTGAGAACTTTTATATATGAGTTTTCCCCAAACTTCATTCAAAATTATAGGGACTATAGACTGGGACTAGGGAAATGTATCAATATATAAAAGAATTCCTTGCATTTTATTTCCCTGGAGCCACATTTAAAAAATGGATATGCCAGTTTCTGCTTTTACATCCAGTACTGAGGAGTCAGAGTTTATGCTTTTATACCCAGTACTGGGGAGTCAGAGATATGCAAATCCCTGGTGAAATGAAGAGGACCTATGTAAAAAAAAAAAAAAAAAAAAAAAGCATTAGGCACCTGAAAAACTCTATCCAAGTTGACTACTGGTCTGGCCTTCAAATTAATGTGCATACATACCTACACAACTGGACATTCAAGTACACACACATATCACACATGCATACACACACACACACACACACACACACACAGATGGTGTAAGAACTAATGACTACTATAAATAATGAGTGTCTTTCTTGTGATTAGGTTCATCCTGGGGCTGAAGAAAATGTCTACCCTGCTTGGATGGGACTGGCAGATGTGAGGTCAGCCAATGAAGACACTCGCCATTTTGCTCTTAGTAACCTTTTCAGATGCTTGCATAGTGATACTTACAAGGTTGCTACTTATCTTGAGATTGTGAAGTGTCGAGTCACCCGTAACAACAACTGCTAAGCATATGCCCATTCAGCTACTAATAGGATTGTCCCTGTTCATCCAGACTATCAATGCTTCTTTTGATTTTGTTTATTGCCGTTTAATAAAGATCAGGATAAACATATAGGCTGAATAGATGTTTATTCAGATAGAAGTAACTTACAACCTAGACAGATAAACACCAGCAAGTTCCACCGGATGCTCTCCTCTCCAAATCCGCTAGCAAGAGAGCATTCCCTGGCTCCTCCTCAGACTAAGTTCACAGGTCACTTCCGCCCCTGGCTCCACCCCCAATGGTCAGTGCCACAGAAGGAGACAAAGTGAATATCTCACTACATTTGTTGGTTTGTTTTCAGGTTTTTAATGTTTTGTTTATTGAGACAGGGTTTCTTTGAGTGGTTTTGTCTGTCTTGGAAATCACTGTAGACCAGACTGGCCTTGAACTTGGAGTTCCACCTGTCTCTGCCTCCTGAGTGCTGGGGTTAAAGGCATGGGCCAACACCACCACTGCATAGCTTTGACTTTTGTATTTTCTATGCATACATGGGTATAATGAATTTTTTGTTAAAAAAAAAAAATAAAACCTGATTCTTGAGAAAAGACTTTTTTTGTTTTGTTTGTTTTTTTTGGGGGGGGGAGGGTTGTTTTGTTGTTATGCGACTCTTTCGCCTGCTCCTAGGATCCTTTTCTTCCTACTGGGTTGCCTTGTCCAACTTTGAAATGAGGATTTGTGCCTAGTCACATGGCATCTTGATATATTGAAATCCCTAGAAGTTCTGCTCTTTTCTGAAGGAAAATGGAAGAACAGTGGATTTGGGGAATTGCGAGGTAGTTGAGAGAGTACTTGGAGGGGTGGAGGGAGGGGAAGCTGTAGTCAGGATATGTTTTAGGAGAAAATAATAAAACAAAGAAATGTCAAATCCAAAATAAAAACTTGTCACACCTTTTTTGGTTGATTTAATATAAAACCGATTCATGGCATTGTGAAATTCCTGTGAAAATTTCCAAACTTAGTGGTTTGGCTTGCCAATAAGACAATTGTCCCCATACCACAGAAGGGATAAGTCAAGACTGGTGTATTTAGAATAACAAGAGATTGCTGTTAATCCATACATGCATTTTAAAAAGAAGATATTTATTCGGGAGTAGGCTTTGGGAGAAAACTGTTCTCTACAAGCAAGTTTTTAGTCTAATGGTAAGCGAGATAAGAACTGAACAAATAGAGTCTCCATAAGTACCATAGATTTTAAACATTCCAAATACCTGTTAGGACACAAGTATGAAATGACTCCATATTTTTCTAATAACAAACAGCTTTCAACCATGGCTCCCTGAGCTCTATCTCAGACAGATTCCGCATGTTCAGGTCACTGTATTTCTGACATTTGGTCTCATGCTGAAGTTCTTTTGCACTGTGTCCTCATCCTGCACTTATTGTGATCACACAGCAGGGAATGCAGATCTCATCTGCTCTTATAGGGTTTCTGCTTCTCCCCTTCTCTGCATAGTGACACCTGTATCTTTCTCATATTCAGAAGATGGGAAAAAATAGAAACAGTAACATAGAATTGGATGACTGGAGTGTAATTATACTATGGCTTGTAAGGAGTACGGTTTTTCCGCCCGCCGCCTGGTCTTGTCCCGCCGCAGCACCAGCCCCAATTAACACACAGAGACTGTATTCAATATAATTCTGTTGGCCCTGTACTAGTTTCTTATCAGCTAGCTCTGCCTTAATTATTAACCCATTTCTATATATTTCCATATGGTCTTCTTACTAGGCAGTGGGGCCGGCATCTCGTCTCCCCAGTCTCTCCATGCTGACTCTCCTTACTCCTTTCTATTTCCTCCTTGTCTCCTAGTCCCTCCTATCTTCCTTTCCTATTGGCCAACAGTGCTTTATGCATTAACCAGTATGAGAAACATATACAGAATGACATCTCCCATCAATGGCTGAAGTTACATTTTGCTGAAAATCAGTTACTTCTATTTTGGGGTCACCACAAAGACAAAAAGTGAAAAAAACTATAGAAGTTTCACCTGAATCTATGAAAGGTTTCATGAATATGTATGTAAATTACCTTACTTAAGTTAATATAGCAGATGCTGTTGCAAAAGTATTTCAAAGCATAGCGAGAATATAACTGACCTTATATAGATTTACATAACAGTAATGGCTTTGTGATGCATTCATGAGGTTTGATGGAATATAGATCAATAAAAATAAAAAGGCCACTATCTATTAATTAATATAAAATGTTTTTATAGTATAGGTAAACAAATAGGATGAAAATAAATTAGGGGATAATCACGGACATCTTTAAACAAATTTGTGGCAATTACCTTTTTCTGTATGCATACGTGTTATAATGGGTAAGTCCTGGTTAAATTAGCTTTGCATTGTAGAGGATATTTTATATAATTTGGAGAGTGTGTATTTATTCTATGAGAAAATGGAAAATCATCATAATTTAAAAGATGAAAATAATGTCATTGGAACTGTAAAATAGTGTTAATCTAGTTCGAAGGTTTGTAGGATTGGGGAGCTGACAGGAAATAAAAGGGCGGGGCTTGATAAATCAAGTTGAAACACCATTTGACCTGGATTATTCAGGGTTCTCTGGAGTCACAGAGCTTATGGAATGAATCCCTGCCTCTCTCATATGTATGAAATATACATATGGGAATTTATTGGCAAAGGAGCCCACTTCTTCAGAATTCCAGAATATATAGAAGACCAGATGAGATACCCAGCACCTACTTGATTCTTGGACTTTCCATTTATAGCTAGCCATTGTTGGAACACAGCCTGTAAATCATTCCTACAAACCTTCAAACTAGATTAACACTATTTCAAGTTCATGGAATCCTTTTTCTTTGAGCTATGTTTAAACACACACACACACACACGCACGCACTGCTTAAATAAAGTCACTATTCATTTTGCAGGGTCTGATTTCATGCCCACGAGAAAAGACCAAGACTCCTGACATTATGAACCTATGGCTCTAACTAGAAGAAAAGAAGGAAAAAAGGAAGGAAGGGAAAAATAAAGAAAGAAAGATAGGTAGAAAGAAAGAAAGAAAGAAAGAAAGAAAGAAAGAAAGAAAAAGTTTGAACACAGGAACTTTGCAAAACATGTGAATAGGAGAGCTGTGCTTTAGAAAAAGAAATAGCAAAATAGTCAGAGAGGACTAGGGAAAGTACATAGAGAAAAGTGATTGTAAACTCAGTTTAGAAATCAGCAGGAATGGCAAGCTATGATTTTCTGATAAGTCAGACAAAGGTATTAATCTCTTGAATCTAAGATCTAAATGTCCTCCTCTGGTAAGATTGATTTCCCTAATTTATAATGTTAAAAAATGTCTCTTTCAGTATCTAAGATAGTTATGTAGTCTTCAAAAACATCCAAATGGGAATGTTCTGAAAATTCCACCATTTTCAGTTCAACTGAAAATTAAACTTCTGAAAATTAAGTTCATTTTAATGAGGCAATGTAAAAGAAATCTTTTAGAAAGCAACTATTAAAAAGTTATGCTCAATGAGTAATGGAAAAATTCAGTGTGCCCAGGATTATATAATTTAAAAGTATGTTATGTTTGTGTATAATACATGTGTGTATCTGTGTGCAGGAGAGGCGTTCATGAGTCTATGTGCAAATGCTGAGCTATAGGAGAATATTTGGTATCTTTTTTTCTAATTCTCCACATTATTCTCTTGATATGATACAGGGTCTATAACTGAACCTAGATTTAACTATTTTCTAATTAAGGCTCTCTCCCAATCAGCAAACACAAATAGTGTGCCTGTTATCACCATGGCCTCTAGGCACATACATTACCACCATGCACACCTGGCTTATTATGTCTGTGTGGGGATAAAAATGCAGGTCCTCATTCTTGTGCAATAAGCATTCCTGGCCACTGAGCCATATCCCCAGGTCCTATGACTTAAAAGAGCAACATATACGCCAATCATGTATTACAAACTCAGAATATAGCATTTAAATTTCACATAAAGTATAAACAATTAACCAGATATCAATCACAGAAATAGCTATACTAATGTTTTCTATTCTCAGGACAAGATGTTGCTTTCAAAGTCTCTAGACAATGTGTTCTGTATGCATAATACTTGCATAACTGCATGAATATATTCATGCACACATGACATTTATTTGACCATCAAATAAAATAATTCATATGTGCAATCCAACTTCTGAAAATGCTTCAAGTGTGTGAGAAAGAATTGTAGGTCAGCATCTCTCTTCGTTTCTAAGTATAAATTTTTGAAGGGCAAACTAATCCCCATTGTATCTTTTATTGCTCTTTCAACAATTCCTGTATTGATAAATTATACTCCAAGTTTTACAATAGAATTCTTTCTTCAGGCATCCTTAAAATAAGCCCATGGTGTATAAAAAAAGAATGGTAATTATAGTGGCTGTCATTATACAGCACTATTTGGTATGGAAAATTAATGAAAATATTTCATCAGACATTTAAAGAAGTGAGAAAATCAAAGTTCCTCAAAATATTTCCCCAAATTCTTAAGTTGGAAGAAACAAAGAAATTTCACTTATAAACAGACATGTGTGTGATATAGAATGCCTTCTTAGCTTCTTACAGCTTCAACATAAAAAAGATTCTATGGGTTTTTTCTCCTGGTTGCAGACAAGACTTTTCTAATTTTCTCTAAATATTTTATAATAAATCTCCTTCCTATGATTTACAATCAACTCTGATATATAAAGGACAAGTTCACTTTCAGCCATTGCAATACAAGAGGGAACTAGGAGACTTTTCATGAATGAGAAGTCTGTGAACTGACTCTGGACAATGACTGAAAGAGTAAGAGAGAAACACAAAATAAATGGCCAAGACCCAAATTTTCCATAAAACTCACAGTAATGGGCAGAGAATCATGAGGAAAGATGGGGGATCTCTTCCGATAAAAAGGAGTCAAGTTTTCTAAAACCCTCGCCTTTCAGCCTTTTGTCCTCCACTGGGATTCCATCA